GTATTACTGGCAACAGTATAATTGTAACAATTATTATCAATAATACTGCTGAAATCAGAAATGCCCAAGGACGAAAGGCAGGGACAGATTTCTTGACAAAAGCAGCTGGGCAAACTGTTTTATTTTTGCAAGAACCAGTTCAGAATGGAATAACCTAAACGTGAAAAGCAATTTTAATTGACAGAAAGAGATGTGCTGTCCTGTTTTAACAGCATTTTTCATTTTGCTGTCAGTAACAACCCTCTTGCTTTCTTGCTTTTTCAGGGTGCTGTCTTCTGCTCTACCTGAAGCCCAGGCCCTGTTCCTGCAGCAAGCACAGCTCAGGCATGTTGGTCCCTCAGTTTTGGCTTCCCACTTCATGGGATGGATGACTGGACTTACTGTGATCTGGGCCTTATGACTTATTCCTATTTTTATTAGCATTTTTAGAAAGATAAAAAGATGAAAGAATGGCATTTTACATTCAAATATTAAGAGTCTAATATATTCATGGAGGGTAAAAGCCTCCATGAAACCTCAGAACAAAAGATCAGGAATTTGTAACATCAGGGGCTCCTCTAGTTTTGGGTTTGCAGTAAGCTTTTTAAAATATCCAGTCTATCTACCGTGAAACAGAATATCTACTGTTGCACTTAATAAAGTAGAAACCAATATAAATGAATTACTGCTGGCTGTTGTCCTGTGGGCATTTTTCCTCTCAGTGGTGCAGCTGACTGTGACTATGATGGCCCTGGTCTGGGGCTGGATGTCACTTTTTCTCCATCACTAGTGTCTACTTTTCTCCTCCTGCATGTGGGTATGCTTGTTCTGGAAAGCGAGGCATTAGTTCAGGGAGAAAGGGGAGTTTTATGTGCAAGCTGGCAGTTAACTCACATGACAGACCCAGACATAGAAGTAAGTGGTAGTCTTTTGTTGCTGTCTCAAACTTCACACGAGACGCCTTAATGTGTATTTGAAAGTGTTATTATACTTTAATTGCTTTAAGAGTAAATCTCTGGGGAATTTGCCTTTTCCTTTGTCAGCATAGGATAGCAACCACTTCAGCAAGTAAATCTGATGGTGGTGAAGGCTGCAGTCTCATCCCATCAGTACCTACAGCCCCCAGGGACTGCAGTAAAGAGCAAATTACATGGTTAGTGGTGTTCTTTTCTGTTTCTGGGCTCAGAGAGACAGTGTGGCTAAAGGATACAAAGAGATTTAAACAGCTTATGCTGGTTTAGATGCCTGGAGCCAGTGCTAAGGGGGTCATTTACATTTTTCAAAGTCCCTGCTAAGCTATAGCTCACGGTGGTAGGCACTGAAAAGCCTTTACTTCCAGGCTGGTCACAGGAAATACCATTATCTGGGTTTAGTAATGCTGACTACAGCAGAAGAGGTGAAGCAGAAGCTCTCTTTTTGTATTACCTGTCCACGGGAAATCACACTCTGCAGCGTGTTTTCAGCTTTGCCATACCACAGAAAGTCAAAGTTTCTGTTTTATATGTCCAGCTAGGCAAACTGACTCCATGGGCAGCTGGCCCATAGTAGAATGACTAAAGGACTTTAACCTGTCTTGCCAGAAGAGTGCAGTGGTTTGTAGAAAATAGTTATCTGGCTGGTGTGTGCACGCACAACATTGAAAACAAAGTGTTTTACTCAGTGCCCAGACACTTTGGGTGCCACCAAGGAGATAAATTGCCTTTTCCTCTCTCTCTTTTTTTTTTTTATGACCCATGATTTAATGCAAAAAGTCCATAAGCAGCCTTCCCTAAGTAGACTTGCCATGAGACAGCCTCTCACTAGAGTTTCTGCAGTTTTAGTTTTAGGCATTTATAAATTATTTTCAACGTTCTGGCAAAATTAATTGCTGGATAAAAGCAGCAAAAGTCAGTCTGCAAAAGTTAGTGCAACCCAGACTTGAAACAACTCCTTATCTGCATCCAGAATCTAATTTTAAAAATCATTTTTATCCAACCAGAATAGAAGAATAACACCAAATGGCTTATATGTCATTGCCACAAAGTGACAACAATCAACAAATGTACGCATCAGATTATTCATCAATAACATAAGCCCTGTCAATTACTTGGCTAAAAAAATCCACATAATCTAGAGAGAGAAAGCATTTTTTTATATGGAATAAATGCAGAGAAGAAACTAGGTGGTTGGGTTTTTTTTCTACCATAGCTGTTTTCCTTCATATGCTTGATGGATGTGTATTCGTGTATCACACAGTAGTTCTGGATATTAAGCAATCCCTGCCGAGGATTCATGTGGTGCCTTTTGACAAGTGGTTCAAATTAGGGGTCAACAGTTGGAACACCTAAAAATTATCATCAGAAGTCCTCAGTAAACACAACTTTACATCATGGATGTTTTAAGCCTCCTGACTCTTATCTGTTTGTGTTCTTTAAAGCAATGTCAGGGTCAGAGATGGAGATTGGTAGATGAGTTGTAGTATTACATCAAACAGAGCCTACATAAACATATACACTGCTTTCCCTTCATTGATGTCCCGTGGCCTATACAAAAACATTACCTTGTTGATTGATACTGCCCTAAGTTAACATGATCTGTTCTAACATATGTCCATTACATTTGTATAAATGAAATATGAAGGGACTGATTTTTGTGGGTCTCCTTTTTTTACAGAAGAACATCTATTCCAAAAGTATGCTTTAGTGATTTGTAGGTTTCCTTAGTTTGATTTCACAAAAGATAGCAAGTGAAAAAAAGGCTGTGGCATCACTCCAAGTCAATCTGCAGTCATAAAAGAAACAAAACAAAAAAAAAACCTTCAAAATGTTTTATAATCTGTGGGGAGGGTTTTATCCTTTGTTTATCTAACTGGGCAAACTGAAAAAAAAAAAAATCTGACTTCTAAAAGGCAGCAAATTGTTAGGAATTGCCTAGGCAGTTCAGATACTGCCAACTGCCTGACAATCTGGGGAAAATATGCCAAAGACCTGAAAATACGATGGTACTTGGGAAGAATGAGACTGAAACTAATGGAAGTTCTGTTATGCAGGCCTATACATCAGACAAGTACTTTGTTCTTGCATTAAGTATCTTTATCTGGTTACCTAAAAATGGTGGTGATGAGTTAAAAAATCCTTATTAAGAAATTTTTCATGTGTATCATTAAAAGCTATTTCAGCTCACCTCGGGTTTTTTAGACGGAAAAACTGCAGGCAGGACAGTGACAATCACTTTGTACAGTAATTTCAGGGGCAAGGAGATTATCTTAAGCAGTAAGTCAATGATCCTCAATTCTGTTCATAAAAAGCTATCTAACACAGCAGAGAGAGATACCTAGATAAGTGAATGAATACATGCTTACAGATATCCTAAAATACATATGGGTTCTTTGGGTCTTTGTCATTTTTCAGCTGGGTCTTAACTTTCCATTTGTGGTAGTTTTTTTCATGTTTCTTAATGAAAGAGATTTAATTTTGCATTGTTTTCTGTTTTTTTTTTCTTTGGGAGAGGAAAGAAGAAATATTTCTGTATATTTTTCACTTCATACTGAATGGTAAGAGAATTGTGATTTTCAAAAAAAAAATTAACTTTTAGAAAAAAATAGAAATTAAAGGGGAAAGAAGCTTGAAAAGTCTAATTGGAGTTTTCTACAGAAATTGTTGTGCCCTAGGTTTTCAGCCAAAATTTACTCCTAGTCAGACATCTGAAGTCCACAGAATTCTTTTCAAATGTAAAATTAGTTTTCCTTAAAATACTTAAAAATGCTAATGAGTTTTCAGAGTTGTCATCTTTTGTATCTAGAGATCCCTCAAACTATCTGAATTTAAATAATGTAGTTAAGTAAAAACGTGTCAAGTTGTAAAAATCTGTAATAATGAGAATACTTTTAAGAAATTAGTTATGAATGTAGATGGATAAAAAAATCACTACATGATAAATAAAACCTTTGGTATCAATATCAGAAAAGAAAGAGTGAATAACAGCATGTTAAATGTACTCTGCAGTTCTTCTTCACTTTCTTTCACATAAATGATGTATTTACAAAAGAGTTATGTTAAGTAAATGTTAAAAAAAAAAAACCAAAACAACCAAACAAAAAAACCATGCTACATTAGATGGCTTTGCAGTGGAACTTGCTATTTCAAGCTTGGTACATACTGTGAATACCAGGATAAAATAATCTGTTCAGCACAGTGAAGTTTGAGTACTTTTTCTTTCACAGGAGTGACAAATGTTGCATGCAAAGGATAAAAGGACAGATTTCCCACCCACACCTCCCTCAGGTGACACACGGGGAGATGGAGAGTAACAGGACAGACAGAAAAGCAGGTATCTCGTTTATTTTTGGTCTGTTGACAAACACTGATTTCCCTCAAGTGCATGTTTTGAGGACTGAAGCTCCTCTCCTCTCAGCAGCAGTAGCCGAAGCACAGGCGATCCCTTCCCAAAGGTTAATGCAAAGACTCCTACGTGCGTGTGTGCAGCGGTTACGAGATTCTCATGGCTTTATTACCCTTGAGGCCTCCTCTTTGGTATGTCAGTGTACTAACCTGCAGCCACATGATGAAAATTAAACAAGGGTTTGTTGCATCTGTTGCTGTGGAAATACAAAGACAATTGCTTCAGTTTCAACGGGATTTCCCTCCTTCCTTCCCCCACCTCTTTTTTTTTTTTTTTTTTTTTTTTTTTTTTTAACATTTACATTTATATGAAATGTCAAGAACAGGACACATTTGTGACAGGCAAAAGGGCAGAGGATACCCCCCCATTCCTCCATTGCCGTTTGCCAGTTTCGCCCCCAAACCCCCCACTAAATATTTCCTTGTTAACTGTGGTGGCGCAGAGAGGTGGGGGCGAGGGAATAAAAAGCATTCCTTCGCGTCTGGAGGAAAGAAAATAGATAAAGGGGGAAAGTTAAAAGGGGAGGGGGAAGAGTGGCAGGGGACTTGAACGGCCGGCGAAATGATGCTTCTCCAGCCCTCCCGTTCAGACAATAGTTAACTCGGGGTTAAAGATTAATAGCCAGGCAAAGCGCTGTATAAATGGCCCGGGCGAGCCGGACAGCATGCGAAGCGGCTCCCGGCCGTGCCGGCTCCCTGCCCAGCAGCATGGGCCGCTCCTGGCTGCCCGCCCTGCTGCTGCCGGCGCTGCTGGGCGCCCGCCTGGCCCCGGGGCAGCCCCTGCAGTGCGCGCCCTGCAGCGCGGACAGGACCGCGCTCTGCCCGCCCGTCGAGCCCGAGTGCCCCGAGGCGGCCCGGCAGCCCGGCTGCGGCTGCTGCCAGACCTGCGCCCTGGGGCCGGCACAGCCCTGCGGGGTCTACACGGCCCGCTGCCGCCTGGGGCTCCGCTGCCGCGTCCCCGCCGGGGAGCCCCGGCCCCTCTCCGCCCTCATCCGGGGCCACGGGACGTGCCTGCCCGCCAGCGAGGCCGGAGGGACGCGCACGGCACAGCCGGCAGGTACCGCGTCCGGCTCCGCTCCGCGCTGGGGGGCGGAACGGGGGATCGGCGGGAGCTGTGCCCGCAGCTGGCCACGGCCAGGAGCCGGGAGCAACGAGAGAAGTAAGGCGGGCGTCTGGAAAATAGCGAAGCTTGAGCGCATTTTGCGAGGAAACGTGCTCTGACCTGTCCTGATGCGGAGCCAAGAGATTGTTCGCAACGAGCTGTTACGCTACTGGCTGAGAGCGCTAAAACCCTGAAGTGTAGCGATGGCACCGTGCAGAATAATCCCCCAGATTTCTGGGAAGCTGTAGACAGTTTGTCTTTAGTAATGAACAGTAACTAGAGTAGGACAAATGTTTTCTAGGCTTTGTTTATGTCCTTCTCCAAAAGTTATGATAAAGAATGAAAAGACTAAACAGGATTGGTGCCTGGCTTCGTTTCAAGAGTAAAATGTATCTGGAGTAGTGCAGTGCTAGCCAAACTATCTTCAAGCAAAAAGGCATCTCAAGCATCTTAGACAATATGATGCTCAGGGATTTCTCCAGTGTTATGTCATTATTTTTCAATTTATTATGATTATTATTTTCATCATCATTACTGCTATGTTCACAAAGTGGTGATTAAGGTAACTTAGTAGCATTACAAAAATAATCGTCGTTGACTCAAAATAATTAGTGGAAGTTAGTGGAGCTTTTCTTTTACTTGACAGGGTAGGGAGGACAGGAAACAGTAACAAAACTTTAGTTTAAGCCACCTGCATTCAATTTAATTTTATCCTTCCTTCCTCCCTTCCTCCCTCCCTTCCTCCCTCTCCCTCTTCAATTTCCCACCTCCATCTTTTCTTAAACATTGTCAAAGGGTGTTTTTTTAGTCCATTGGCTCTTTACAGCCTTGATCCAACGAGTTATTTATATATAAAAATGTTGTCCTATGGTGAGTCCCCCTGCAAAGAGCTTCTGTTGCTTTCAGTGGGAGAGTTCACACACGCTGATTTAGGTACTGGCATACAGTCCCCACCAGGCTTCTGCCAATCCCTGGCTATTTGATCCACGCAGGCCAGCATGAGCTACTGCGGGCTCCTGTGAATTGCTGCTCCTTCTTATATGTGAGGCAAACAACAGAATAAGGTACAGGATACCCTGGGATGAGGTCTGGACCAGTTCCCCTCATGAACAAAAACAAACACATCACACTGACAAAAATCTAAATTCCTTAGAAGTTTAACTTCAGTCTTTCCTCATTTAACCAAGTCTCTACAACCCATTGTGGTCAAGAAGGTTTTTTCATTTCTAGCAGACTGGCTGCCACTTATCTTTGGGATTCAACTAATTTCAAAGGATCATAAAACAACTACCTTGTTAGAAAATAGCTGATGAGTCTTTCTGTGAACATATGACCAAAGTTTAATTTGCCATTTATTATTCCTACAAGATCTACTGCAATTGATCTTAGATATTATCTTTTTTTTTCCTTTTTTTTTTTTTTTCTGGTTGATTCTTCTTTTTCTTCACCTTTGTAAGTGTGAGAAATAAATGCAAAAGTTCAATGAAGAGGTTCACCTTAATATCATTCATTTCCAGACTCTGTTGAACCTGACGATATGCCTTCGGAAAGCACTGAAATAACACAGGATCAGCTGCTGAACTATCAGTTAATGTTTCCCATGGGCCAGGATAAGTCCATTCCCTGGAATGCCATCACTGCATATGAAAACATGAAAGCAAAGAGAATATCTGAACTCAAGACATGGAAAGAGCAGGTGGGTTTTCTTTGAAACCTTTCAGAGACCATTTCAGTAGATGCTGTTGATTTAGAACTCCAAATGAAAATCTGCATGAAATTGTAGCAGTAGCACTGAGATGTCAGTATTTTGGGAAGCTGGAAAACAGGCTTTCGGAATATCTTCATCAGATGCTCGAGGAACAGGCAAAATGGAAAAATGGAATGATAATAATCAGATATGTCCTACACGACTCTGTGCAGAGGCTGAATCTTTCACTGCTTTTACTGTCAGATGGCCCCTTAATTTACACCAACCTATATTAAAATCTTGGATTCCTTTTGTGCTTCAGTTAAAAAAAAAAAAAAAAAAAAAAAGGCATTTTTCACTGGTCCAACACGCAATGAAATAAAAAGGAGTCCTTCCACGTAGTTATTGACGAAACCCCAGCACAAACCAAAACGTGCTTTTCTCTGATCAGAAGGAGACATTATCAATTCCATGAACGTAGAAAGACAAAAAGCACAACTATTAAAGTATACGTAGACACTGCAAAATCTCGGTAGGTTAGTAGGGGTACGGGAACTTTGCAAGCAGGTTTGTGCTCCTCTTGAGGGCAGCAGAGAACCACGGCTAGACCTGTCCCTGGCAGCAGCACCCCTGCCTTGCGGAGCCGAGTTATAGTCGGGCACCACAGGAGCCCAGGATCGTAATGGTCCCTGACAAAAAGGAAAAGAAACAGCAAAAACCTACTAATCATCACCCTACCTTAGGAAGCCTCGTTTCCATATCCAGAACATGATGTAATCTGAACTGGTACGTACATGTGCTGTTAGCTCCACTTCCGAATTGTAGGGCTTCTGCTTTTCTCACCCAGAGTCACCAGTTGACTGGAACAGGACAGCTTATACGAGGGGCTGACACGGGGAGGTTTTGTAAAAGCAGAGGCCCTGTTTATTTTTACTCTAAAATAGAAATATTTGTTCAGCAAATATGTTAGGTACTGTTGATGCACAGCAATTGTGACTTTGAAAAAGAGAGCCAGCAAAGTATGAAAATAATATTTACAAACAGTTCTTCGTCCTCGGTTCAAGGCACTTTGGGTTTTCGTCCCAGAGCTACAAGGTGGCTCCACGTTGCTTTGGCAACAGTTCTGTCCTGTACAAAAGATAACAAACATTCAAATGTTTGTTCTTGCACCCTCTATATATGTCTTGTACCTATTCTCCATATATCAACAGAGCACAGGGCCATGGCAACCCAGAAAACGTGGCAAGTCTCACGTACTAGTCTCTTAGCATGCACCTCCCCATAATAGGAGAGATTGTACCCTGTGAGCAGTAATGTGTTTACTTAGTACAGGTTAAATTTCCTTGTGTGGCAATTTAAGGATTAAAATCCTCAAAGAAAATACCTCAAAGAACAGAAACAAAGGTCTAAATGCAAGACCAAAGTTTTCTGGCTGTGCTCGTCCTCAAACAAGGAAAACTATAAGCAAAACAATCTGGTACAGATTGTATGCCTAATAAATATTTTTAGCCTTTTGCTAGCTTTATTTTGATCACTTTCTGTTCAGCTGTTTTCTTTGTGATTTTGGTATTATAACCTGTGCCTGGTATTCTCGCAGGGCCCTTGTCAGAAGGAGCTCTACAGGGCCTTGTATAAACTGGCGAAGGCTCAGCAGAGAAGTGGAGGGGAGATTTACAAATTCTATTTGCCCAACTGCAACAAGAATGGATTTTACCACAGCAAACAGGTGTGTGCCTTTTCTCCCCTATCTACTCACAGCAGCGCTGAGACTAGCCTGATACAGCCAACCCTTTCACAGCCCTCTGCTCCCAAACTCCCACATTTGCAGCTGCTGGACAGGCAGGTTGTGAAAACAGGGATATTTTGTAGTGGGAGCAGATGGTCAGTCCTCCTCTTTAAAGTGAGCCGCGTGCTGCGAGCTGACAGCAATGGAGGCAGGAGCCTTTTCCATTCACAGAACAGGTGCACCCAAAGCCTTCTCTGAAATATTTTAACCCTATCTGCTCCCAGGCCAAATTAAGTTCCATGTACCTGATTTGTTAGCACAGTTCCAGTTGATATTAACTCATAATATCCACCGTATTACCTGCCAAAGCCCATTGAATATATCATAATAACTATGTAAAGGGGGGGGGGGGGTGTCTCAGCTCCCAGGCAATGGAAACTCCCATAGGCAGTGGAAAAAAAACTCTTTGGAGCAAAATTAACCTTGTGAAAGCAGAACAAAAATACTGATTTGTGCTGCCTGTGGACTAGCTTATTTGCTCATTTCCATTATACCCTCAAAAAAAGCCATTGCAAGCTAAAGTGAGAGTAATCTGCAAACCCAACTAAAGCTCCAAACCTCAAGCCACACCTTGTTACCGCAGTTCATGCACACAAATTTAGTAGGTCTGCATAAATCTGTGTCACCAAGACTCCTTGTTTTTGGGTATGGCATCACGATGTGACTCACAAACACTGTGACCTCAGGATCTAATCAAACAGAAGTCAGTTTAACCCCCTCCCTAAGAAAAAAAAAACCAAAAACACACCACTTTATTTGCCTCCTTGCATGAAGAGCCAGACCATTCAGTCACTGCTCTCACCCTACCAGCTCGTAAATTCTGCCATCCTTCCATTTCTCATGGTGGAAGGTACTGCTGTTTTCTACTACTGTTTGCTAAGGCTTAGGCAGTTTTAAATCTGAAGCTGCTTTGGTGGTAGCTGAGCTTGGGTCTTGGCTCCCTAGCCAAGTGTGTTGCTCAAGAGGCTCTGCAGACCACTGCATTCAAAACAAGTCTGTGCATGGCAGATGATCCTAATTCTGATCTTAATTCTGTCCAACATCTCTACTTGCAGTATCTCACAGGTAACCTTCTGCTTACAGTTACTTACTGTGATTTTTTTTTTTGCTAATAATATTCTAGTGTGAAACTTTACTGGATGGAGAGTCTGCTGAATGCTGGTGTGTCTATCCAAAAAGTGGCAGAAGAATTCCTGGATCTCCAGAAATTAAAGGAGACCCAGAATGCCAACAGTATCTGAACTCACAAGAATAAAACTAAACACCAAGGTTTTTCACACCAAGTCTTCTGGGGGCCTGTTCTAGTCAGGAGCCATCCCAGAAGGAAGCTATTTCACTAATATAGTTCTGTGCACCTGATTTTCAATGTATGAGTAATGCCATAAAGTAACATTTTTACTGCACTGAGATTGCCTAGATGCTCAGGTGACAAATATGAGCAACTGCAAGATCAAATTCTATAATCTTGTATATTTTGTTCTTATAATATTATAGATACCCTCATATGTAAAGCTGTTGAATTATTTATTTCACAGTATATGTATTTTTGTCTCTATGTGTTGTTACTAATTTATATTCTCAAACACTTCATAGCTTGATATGTAAATACTTAATATTATTGCTCTTAAATGTATACAACATATGTTGAAGGAATGTTGCTACTTAAGACTTTAAATGGCATACTATTGGGAAAACTGCTTGTAAACTTGCATTTTTTGTACTATATATTTATAGTGTCAAACTGAATTTTAAAAAATAAACTTCAGCAGAGAGCATGCTTAGAAACTTATTTAAAACCTGTTTTGCATATATATCATGTTACTTTTGCACCTCTGTTTCAATGTCAAGCTGTTTCTTAAAAAAGAAAGTCTAAACCTTAATTATATACTGAAGCTCCTAATGGGACAGTATTTTTATCTATTTCTCAAACATATGCACTGGATAAATGGCAAAACACAACAGGATATTCTGCACCACCTTTGTCATTCACATATTGACAATGCCACGTTATGATGAACTATTAAATAATGTCTTCTACTTTGTCCCTGTCTCTTGTTTTCTGCATGGTCCCATTCAAGAGTCTGACCTCAGCAGGAAAACAGGCAAAACTCTTGCAAATCTGCCTCCTGAATGCCGATCTCCTTTCCTGCGATGAATTTTCTTCTTTTGCTCTCCCTGCCCCATTCCCTTTCTCCTGCCCTCGAATCCCAGCTGTGTTCTGCAAGCCTCGGGCAAAATTTCAGCCTCCAAGGGAAGTTATTAAAAGGCTTTCTGGATAGGAAAGCTGAATGCCTTCCTTCACTCAAAAGCCCAAGGCAGCAGTATTAGTGTATTTCAAAGATAACATCAAGACTAGAAAGAGTCATTTCCTGCACAGAAAGTCAAAGGTTGTAAAATGGAGGCTGGGGAAAAACTTTTTCCTGCAAGCAGAGAAGAGGGTTCTCTTGGCTTGGGATATTGGTCTCTTTCCCTTCCCCACGTGTCACTTCGACCGAGTGGTTGCAGAGAAAAAGAGAACGCAAGTAACTGCCGTGCCGGCTTCGGGATGAGTTTGTCCATAGAAAAACTGGTGTGGGAGTTCACAAGTCCCGGAGGTGAAAACAGGCTGCACCAACCCTTCTTAGGAAAACGGGCTGAGAGGAAAGTGGTAACATTTTCTAAGAGCTGGCAGGAGTGAAACTCAGCATAAAATCCTCCTGCCATTTGTTGGCACAAGATTTGGTGGTTAAATGGGAGAGTGAAGCAGCTCGTAGAAACTGCAAAGCCAAAGCGTGGAGATCTCTGCTCTCCTGATCGTGTTTCTGTGGCATTGTGTGTTGCGCCTGCTGAATGTGTTGGCTGTTATCTGCATGCCAATGTCAGCTGATCCAACTGGAGTCTATTAAACTGCTCCAGAGTTAAAAGTATGGGTATACTACTTACCTTCTTTATGGAGTCTTTTGAGATCTTTCCAAGGAAAGCATGTAAAAGCGGTGGTTGGCATTGGTATTATAAGTAACTAATGCCTAACCTCCCTGTAATGAGCTGCTGAGAGACCCAGCTAAAACTATGTTACATTCACTGTGTCAAAATGTCTGGCAGTCACTGTATCAAAATAACGAAGCAGCAAATTTGGGCAGAATTTTGGAGTCCTTTCATGGAGTCCTACACTGAACAACTGTTGTGTGGCATTGCCAGGGGAAAATGGTGAAG